TTAATAATAATAATAATATATTACTATAACATTAATAATTTAAACGACATACTTATATTTATTTAAAAAAAAAAAAAAAAAAACAAAAAAAAAAGAAAAACAATTTTTATTTCTTTTATTTCTAACACAAACGTATAAATACACACGCAACGTGTGTAGAAAACAAATCTACACGGGACACCCCCAATAAAAGAAGCAAAAAAAAAAAAGAAACGAGGGAGAGAAAAGAGAGAGAGAGAGAGAGAGAGAGAGAAAAAATAAAAAAAGGAAAATAAAGAAAGAAAAAACTCAAACAATTAATCGGATTATTCCTCCCCTTTTTATATTGAACTCACCACCACCACCATCATCACCATCATCATCCCATCCCCCTGTTTTAAAAAGAGAAGAAAAGATGAAAACAAACAAAAAGCAGACACTTTAAACGAGGTTGGTACTACAAATAATGAACGTTCTCGATGTCGAATGGGAATCACGACCAACAACAACAACAACCATGATGAACATCATCATGATAATGATAATGATAATGATGATGATGATGATGATGATGATGATACCGTGCGAAAGATCGGTGATCCTGTAAAAGGGACTACAGTCAAAGGACGAAATAAGATTAAAAAAAAATAAAAAAAAAAAATAGAAAAATAAAAAGGAGTTGATAGACAATGGCGGATTCTCCGTTCAACCTTTTCTCTTCATCTTCGTACCCTTTACTCAACATACACTGGAATTAATTATATCCGTGACCGGGGCTCATGACAAAGGGGTTAAAGGAAGGCAAGAAAGGACGAGGATGAGAAAGATAGAAGGAAAGGGAAGGGATGGGAAGGGAAGGGAAGGGAAAGGGAAAGAGTTAGAGGAGTATGAGGATGGTTGAGGGTGAAGTGGGGGGTAGATGAGGAATGAGGTAGAAGAAAAGGGATGAGGGGGGGTTTAGAACGAGAATGGAATACGTCTGTGTGTGTGTGTATGTTTCTATGTGTAGGACTGGGAAGAAAAGAGGGGTTGGAAAGGAAGGGGGTGCGGTGGTCAGAGAAGGGGAGGGTGTAAAAGAGACAGAGATGGATAGATGGATAGAAATGGAAAGAGGAATTGGAGAAACAAAGAGTAGACCAACAATTCGCATATTCGAGAGAAAGAGAAATTCACATAAACGAGGTTCTTATATATATATATATATATTATATTATATATGTGTGTGTGTATTTGTGTATATATATGTGAGTCGGATATGCAAGAGACAGACTCGTTAGCCACTCGTCAAAACAAATCGTACGCTCCCTGAAAATAATGTCTATCGTGCATTACACTGTACGCATCTCTATGTCTCTTCTTTTATGTATTTGTGGATATATATATATATATATATATATATATATATATATATRTGTGTGTGTGTGTGTGTGTGTGTGTGGATGTATCAAAGAGAAAATCATCGTTGGTGGCGAACTAGCGTAGGATTGCCGTCTTGACTTCGTAAGGTTCTTCTTTCCTTGTCCCCTCTTGCATTACCGTTAGAAACACGTAGTACATAACTAGTCAAGACTTCCGGTCTCTTCTCAATCTTCATTCATTTCTTATTTATTTTTCTTTTAATTATATATATATTTTTTTTATTACTTTAAATTTGATTATTATTATTATTATTATTATTATTATTACACAGATATAATTTAATATTTTAATAAGAAAATTAGTGTGTGTAATTATTATAATAACATGTGGTCAAAGTATTAGAGAATTATTTAGTTTTGTTTTTGAATTTTTTTTCCCGCTTAAAATGTTTAATAATATATGGCGGTAAAATTGAAAATAATGGATGATGAATATATGAGTTTTTTATATTAAAATAATGCAATTAAAATATTTCTATTTTTGAATTTTTTCCCGCTTAAAATGTTAAATAATATATGGCGGTAAAATTGAAAATTATAGACGATAAATATACGATTACCTATACGATCTATATTGCAAAAAATGAAATTAAAAAATTTCTATTTTTGAATTTTTTCCCGCTTAAAATATTAAATAATATATGGCGGTAAAATTGAAAATAATAGACGATAAATATACGATTTTTTTATATTAAAAAAAATGAGATTAAGAAATTTCTATTTTTTAATTTTTCCCGCTTAAAATATTAAATAATATATTGCGGTAAAATTGAAAATGATAGATGATAAATATGAATGTAATAAATGTATATTTATACAATTATATATAATATAAACGTAATTTATATTATAATTATATATTAACATTTTGAATTATTAATTTAATTAAAAATGTAATTTATATATAAATATAATTGCGTAATAATATATATATATATGCTTACAATGTTAAATAATATATGGCGGTAAAATTGAAAATAATAGACGATAAATATACGATTTTTTTATATTAAAAAAAAAATGAGATTAAACAATTTCTATTTTTGAATTTTTCCCGCTTAAAATATTAAATAATATATTGCGGTAAAATTGAAAATAATAGACGATAAATATACACATTTGTTTATATTAAAAAAATGAAGAATTTCTTTTCGTTTATAATTTTTCTTCTCATTTCCTCTCTCTCTCTCTCTCTCTCTCTCTCTCTCTCTATCTTTTTTCGATTGAAATTATCTTCTGTTTCTTTTCGCAACACAAAATATGCGATGTTTTAATGATACGTTGAAATGTCTTGTTTATAATCGTAATACATTTTCGTATTGAGTTTAAAGTAACGTAAGACCCAAAAAAGGAGATACATGCGGTATCTTAAAACAAACTGAGAAAAGATCTCTTGGTATCTTTCCTCGCGCGTGTTCTAATTTCAAAACTTTCAGTACTTTTCAGGTTGCATAAACAAAAATGACACGAAGTGAGATGGTCATCGAGGTCAGTATAATATCTCTCTCTTTCTTTCTTTTTTTCTTTCTTTTATCAAGGTCGAGTTTCTTTTCATATTAATACACGTTTTTATCTCTCGTTTCTTTCTCTCTAATAATATATTCAACAAGATTATAATATACCGGTCACGAACCATTTTTCAGATAAATGTGATAAATAAAATCATCATTCGCAAAATAAAACTTCGATAAACATAATCACGCGAAATATACGTCGCAAATAATGCGCAATAAGGATATTTTTAACACTAGATATACCACCAGAGCAGCAGTCATTTTGACTGATCGGGCCCCATTTTAATTATAAATTTTTACTACATGTAACATTTGATTTTTGTGAAAATAATTAAAGCCTTTTGTTATTTCAAAATGTCTATGAAAATTATTATTGGAAAACATTTTTTGGGTTATTGTTTTTAAGAGTAAATAAAAACTGGAAGCTTAAAAAAGCATGTTTTTTTTCACACTAGTCATTTTGACTAGTGTGGTAGAAATGGGTATACTGAAAATGGTGATACATCTAGTCTTAAACAAACATGTTAGACCGATTCGTGTTAAATCTTAATAAATAATAATCATATAAATATAAATATATAATATTATTTTTTAAAAAATATTATTAAATCAAAATTGTTTTATTTATTTTGAATTCTTTCATGTCACGTACTGATTTCTTACTAATTATAAATATTATATTAAACCGTATCGTGAACGACGTTATCAACATACCAAAATAAACAAAAATAATAAAAAAAAAAGTAGAAGATTTTGGTAAATAATCAAAATTTCGAATTTTCAAGAGAAAAAAATAAAAAACAAGAAGAAGAAGAAGAAGAAGAAAAAAACAAAAACAAGAAAGAAAAATAAGAAAATAAAATCGTCAATCGATGAAACTAACCGAAGATTGGATATTTAATATCATCGTCGTGTTTGCCCAATCGTCGCCATTTTCTAACTCCGTTCAGTGCCGCGGCTTCTCCCCTTTTTCAGGTGAATATACGTAAAAGGAGACCAATACACGCATACATGAGTAATTGCATCAAAACACACACACACACACACACACGCGCGACAAATTTCAATGATATATTAATACAAAGTAATAATAACAATAATAATAACAATAATCATAATAATAATAATAATGAAAAAAAAGGGTTAACGAAGTAGAAAAAAATATTTAAAAAATTAAAACGAGAGGTAAAGATGGAAATAAGTAAAGAGAGAGAGAGAGAGAGAGAGAGAGAGAGAGAGAGAGAGAAAGAGAGAGATAGATGCGTTGCGCGCGTGCCACAGCATCCGCGTGCACACGAGGCTCGTACCATCTCAAAGCCGGAGTAACGAGAGAGAGAAAGAGAGAGAGAAAGAGAGAGAGAAAGAGAGAAGGGGAGAGAGAGTATTCTTCCCCCTTTGACCCCTTTATCACCTAACCCCTCGCCCCACCCCCAAAGCGGTCAGATCAACGTGCAAACCTAGGAAGAAATCGCGCCCAGACGCTGAATATCATCTAATGTTACTACTGTAGTCATAAATCAATCCATTTATGTTTGTATTTTTATACTTTTTATCTTTGAACAATATGTTTATTTATATCTATATATGTATATATATATATATATATTTCCTATTTTGCAATAGTAATTTTTGTAATTATATTCAAGGCTATTTAAAATTGTTTTGTTTGTTATTGTTGTTGTTGTTATCTTTTAGTTATTTTTATTCTACTTGTTTTTATTATCATCATATTTTCGTTCCTTGTATAAAATTCTTAGTACGAAACAGTAGTGAAAGGTAAGAATGTTAGAGGATGGATCCATGACAGTAAGGGGGTTGATTTTCGATGAGATACCATGCAACTTGACATGTATATAAGTGGTAATAAGAATATTGGAGTTTACGTAATAGTTCACGAAAAAAAAGGGGGAATCAATAGGTTAAATAAAAAAAAAAATAAAAAAGGAATTGGTATTTTAATGGAATATAGAAAGGAAATAATATAGAGAATATATTACTATAGAAAGTGGTAAATATAAAAAAAAAAGGAGAGGTAAAAAATGAATGGATAGGAAAAGAAAGGAATACTAAAAGTTTATTCGTTCCTTACCTCCGTAGTGGCGTTGCATTCCGTTAGAATGACGGCCGTGCTCACCAAAATCCACAATATCCTTCGTCTCATCTTAGATTTTAGTTAATTCGGTTAGGCTCTGGTCGAGCCCGCAGCTGTAACGCCGTTTTCGCTTAAGCGAAAAAAAGTACGCGATCTTTTAAGCTGCCGCGTTTTAGTTGCAGCCAGGAAAAGGAAGCAACGAAAAATCGAACAGAGCAACAACGCGACACACACCACACTGATCGATGAATCGCGAAACACTGAGGGCGCGACAATCGATTCGTATTCATCCTTCGCTGGTGATCGCCATTTTTATCGATTGTCGCGACATCAAGCGGTTCGATTAATTACTACGTTTACTTCGATACAGATCGAAGCGCCACTGTGGTTATTAATAGAAATTCGAAAAATCGATAAGGTCGGTATAGTAGAACGATATAATATTTATCGATATATTTTAAATGTTGCGTGGTAATTTATAAAATAATTCGTTAAATAATTAAATTATATATAAAATAACTAAACTGACTAATTAAAATATAAAAGAAGATAGAATTAAATACTACAATTAGATGATATATACTTGGAAATTAATTATTAATTCATGACACAAATAAATTTTTAATTAAATTTAATATATACATCAATTATTTTTAATACTTTCATTTAGGAACCTTTCTTCTTATTCGATGCAGTATTTTTATCTAATTCTTGTAAAAATCTAAGATTCTCGTTGATATCTCGATTATACTCTTCGATTTTATTACGCATCACGTTAACTTCCTTTTGCATGTTTTTAACTTCGTTCTGTGTTTTTCGCTTGAGTATTTCTAATAATTTTTTATCCTTGAAATTCATGAAAATAATCGTTGTTTAAATATACAAGAAATATATATTTAATTATTTTACCTTTTTGTAATAATATTCGGTTTCATATGCTAAACTATCGTCCAAAAATTTATTATTCTTATAAAGAGGATTATTATCCGAATTGAAATATCTACAATTAATAAACAAATATTATTTCGTAGCAACTTCAACATAATGTTCTTTTTTTTTTAACCTTAAATACACATTATTAATGTAAATTATAAAACATACGTACACGTATATAATTAGAATACAAATAATGAATTACCTATTAATTTGAATGATTATTCTTTTATCAATGCAGCGAAACATTTCGTATTAAGATAATTGTTTTACTTTGAATTTCGTAATTAGCATAAAATATTGCACAAAATAAATAAATTCACGGTAAGTCAAAGTAAATCTTTAAAGTCGATTATTATTAATTTCAATCTTATACGAAACAAGCGAAATAACATCGATATGACATTATGTAGAAGTTTGTAATTATCTCTCTCTCTCTCTCTCTCTCTCTCTCTCTCTCTCAAATCTTTTATTGAAATAAAAATAAATTATAATTAAATTCAATAACAATGAATAATTTAACAATAAATATTTGATTATTTGAGAAAAACAATATGTCAGAAGGACCAAATGAAATGGAATAATAATTAAACATGTAAATAAATTGAAATTAAATTTAGTACAGCCATTAGCCCGGTAGTACTCGCGTTACATAATTTACAATAAAATTTGTAAGAAATTTCGCGAGCAATACCGACCCGGGTCTCACCACGAGGAGGTTGCTGAATTTGGAGACCCACAGTTTAAAGACTTTACTTCTACATTGACTATTTTAATAAATTCATTTCATTTAATTATTTATTAAAAAAAAGTAATTAGAGACAAAAATGCAAACGCGTAAAACGGTGTCACAAATTTTTTCACCAATTTATTTATCAAGTTGCATTAAAAAAAATCATGAACATCGTTTTTAAATCGACCTACCGACCCGATTAAGGAATAGAACCCATTTACAGTACTCCATTCCTAAATTAACACAAACATACAAACATGCAAATACGTAAACATGGAAACGCTTTGATGTAGATTCCGTTGAAACTTCAAATGTAAAACGTAAGTTCTTACTGTACAAACGCAAGAATGTAAACGTTCTAATTTACATTTGGATGAAACTTTAAATGTAACGCGCAAATTTTTTTTTTTTTTTTTCAATAATAAAAACACATGCACAGTGATGCAATAAAAAAGAACGCACGCATTGTCGTTATGTGCACCAAATTATTATAATAAAATAATTTTAAAAATAATTATATAACGTAATTTTGAATTTTTGATAAATGAAAATTGAAATAATTAATAAATATATATTCATCTATATTTCGATTATTCAACTAAAATTATTTAAAAAATAATTATTGAATGTATCTTGAATTTTTAATAAACTTAATTACAAAACACATTAATTATAGAAAACAAATATATGGATTGGTTGAAAAGTTCTGAGCATAATAAACAACTACCGATTGAAAAGTTTTGAGCCTCGCACGATAATAGCTCAATTAAAATGTAAATTTATAAAAATAAAAGTTATTTTGTAAACTTTACATTTTTTACATTATTTCTTTTCTGTTATACATTAAAAAAAAAAAAATTTCAATTTGAACATTTATTTTATATTTGATTTAATAAACATTTTGAGAGAACATTTCTCTTTTTTTTTTTTTTAATAGATACTTTTAAAGTAAAATATACAAATAAACAATTTTTCACATAGAATTATTTAAGGATTTGAAAAATGGATTAAAATATAGGTAAATAAATTGTGAATTTTCAAGCAATTATTTTATTATACTTTTACGTACTTTTACTTATGTTATATTAAATGGTGTATTTTAAGTACTTAATAATTTTTTAAAGCGAAATAATTTTTACAGTTCAATCAGAACTTTGTTTCTATTTTTGAAAAAATAAAAATGTTTTATTTGCACATAAGATTTTTAAATGAAGTAAAAGTTTCAACGGATTTATAATTATTTCCTTAAAACAAAAATCAATTGACAATTTAAACAATTTTAATAATTTCATTTAAGCCCTGATTGCAGTGATTATTAATTTTAATATTTAAGAATAATTATATATATATATATATATACATGTGAAGTCACATAAACAGTTAACAATAATTCATTGAAATATATTAATGTGTAATATACATAAATATAAAATGAATCTTTCTAATTATCAAACTAATCCTATTAATCTTTTGATTGACCACACATTGGACTTAATATCAGTCAAATATCATTAGAAAAATTATATGACGAAGATAAATGTTAATATTTATTTATTATTTTTAGCCATTTCCTCCATTCTTGACTTATGACGTTCTATGGCTTCTTGATGACGACGAATCTGTTCCTCGTGGAAAGCTATCTCATCGGTGAGACCTTCTTTCAATTTTTTTAACTGTTCTTTTTGCTAAAATAAGAAAATGATAAATGATGATATATTTTATAAAGATGTACCATAGATAAATATAGATCATAACGTAATACTACACTGATTATTTAAATAATTATACAGATAATTGAAATCCTATCATCGACAAACCTGATTATAAAAGTATTGATTTTCATGAGCTGCTTCCATTTGTGCAAAAGCTCCACCAGCATCACGAATAGCACCAGCACTGCCCTTGCTTCCTTGAGAACCGCTACTGTTAGACATTTTCATTCGGCTAAAATCAAATATAAAGTATTTAGTATAACATTCTGTTTTTAATAATCTTAATATCAAATTTAATAAATCTATACAATGCATATTGACCAATAATTACATTTAATAATCTAAAAATTTGGTATGCATAACTATAAAATAAAATAATTATAATTAATTATCAGAGGGGGACATATGAAACATCAAAGTTGTTATTGCAATGCTAAAAATAGATA